AAAGTTCAACAAAGAATTATAGAGGTTAAAGGAAAAAGTAAAATAAAAGAAACTATGATAAAATAAGGTGAATATTAAACTGATCTTGAAATGGGCTGGGGCTTTATAAGTATAAAAGTAAAAAAAATGGGCAATGGCAGTAACAAATAATTCACACGAGAGGAAAATATAATAGCCAATAAACACATAAAAATGCTCAGGCCTGCGAGTCATTAAGATCACCCAACTTCAAATGAAACATAAAATTAATAATATTTTAACAATAATACTTAATGCTGTCAAGAATTCTGTGAGATGAACACTCTCATAAACTAGCAAGAGTGAGAGCAACATTTTTTTCAAGAATAATTTAAAAGTATGTGTCATCCAATTATCCTGCTTCTTGGAATCTTTCCTGGTGAATTAGTGAGAAATGTAATAAAAATTCATATAAAAGTGAGTTCAGACAGTCTTAATTTTAACAGTAAAAGCCTAGATATAACTTAAATATCCCATAATGTTAGATAAATTACGAGATACTTGTAAGTCGAAGGGAATGCAGCTATTAGAATGTTTTAGAAGACTATTTAGAGAATAAACACACGCTATAGAACTATATAAAAAGAGCGATCTATGACATTTTATACACAGCATTTGATTGCCATTTCATTTTTTTTCAAAGTCTACATGTAGAAGCAATATTAACAATGGTTACCTCTGGGTGACATTTTCTTTGTTTACAGATTACTAAGTTTTTCCATAAAAATCTCAGATAAAAACCTTTTTAAAAAAAGTGTATGACTTTTGCTAGTGCCCTTGCCCAGGAAATCACCTTCAAAGACTCTTGCAACAATGACATCTCACCTCCTTGCAGTGGGTGCTGAGAAATGAAGAGGTGCTCAAAATTGGTAAGTGGTTGATTAAAACATTACTTAACACAGCCCAGGGCTGAAGGGGCGTTTGTGTGTGAAGGTGAGGGGGACAAAAGGGAGGACCATCCGAAGGTTAAGACACAACTTATGAGAATCGCTTTGGTTCAGCCTGAAAAAGCATTTCCATTTAGTTCCTCTTAGCATCGTGCCAGGGCCCTGCGACAGTGCTGAGCCCACGTGCCTGCTTATACATTCAAGTCCCATCCAGGCGGTGGGAAATTCCAAAGAAACAGACATAGTGAGTGCGACGCACTGTAATGCGGGTGTGCTTTTAATGAATGTGCAAAGGTTGCATGGATCAATTGTCCATTTGATTAATTCCTCTGGCAGGAGAGAATTAAATGTACTTAAGCTACACACCAGCGAAAGCTGGATGCTTTTTAAAATGTGATTTTCTGTGTTAAGGCCAATTTTTTTTTCTGTGCAAAACCTTTCTTGAGATAATAATGGAAGTCATTGAGAAAATGGAATTTGCCATGTAAATATTCACAACATCCTACTTTGTCAGAAAAGCGTCTAATGTGCAAAACAAGGTCAAGGTCTATATGGTACGCACCATTGTTTGCAGCAAATCTTCCTTTCAAGTTCTTATTTGCATTATTTCATAGAAGAGGTGATAATTTCCTGCTTTAGGAAGAAGTCATTGCCAAAGCCCTTGCCTTTCCCTCTACAAGGCATTTAGCATTAGAGTTCTAGAGACTCCTAAGTCCAAAAGAGGTAATTATCTTCTTCAACTTGTTGGCAGGCATGAAGCCCCCAGGAAAAAAAAGTCTTGTACTTTTTATCACTTGGAGAGATAATGTCTGATATGTCAATGGAGGGGAAGGCAATATTCTGAATGGTATGGCGAAGCGGCGCACACCTGAAAGTCTCAGCAATCATTTCACTGCATCCAGATCAGGAGTATTCCGTGCGTGCCTACTATGTGCCAGGCATGGTGCTGGGTCCTGGGTGTGGAGCAGTGAGCAAATCAACGTCAATGTCATCACAGACAGATTCTGATTAAATTGCTCAGATAGAGGAAAGCTTCATTGTTCTGTTCCAAGTGATGTTCTATTAGATCATGATTCAGGCCAGGCAAATATATCAAAATATTACTGTCACAGAGCATTCTGTATCGGATTTCCTCCCTGTTTAGGGGCGGTGTCTTACTGAGAGTCGCTAGAAAGTCAAAGGAACATGAGAGGGGCCACTCTGAGTGAAGATGCAGGTGAGAAAGCTTTTCCTTTAACCCTCACTGAATGATTCCTACCAACGGATGGAGCCCACATCAAACCTTGAAGATGCCAACCTCCCCTCCCCACGCTGCTACTGCTTTTGCCATCCCTGCTGCAGAGAAATCTGCATCTCCCTCTGGACAGACGGTGTCTGCCTTGTAGCCTAAGCTGGGGCAGGAAGGAGGGTGGTCCCCAGCTAAGAGCAGAAGACAGAAATATCACTTCTCATATGACCTCATTGCCCTGTGTCCAGCAGCAGAGACGCAGACAGATTCCTGCATAGGTGCCTCCTCTGAGTCAACCTCCCCTTCCGGATTCTGCCCATTCTTATACTTCAACGTTCAGCCACCATTCGTTCGAGCCATATTAATTCAGCATCTACTGGGTGCTGGTGACATAGCGACAAACAAAACACAGAGGTTCCTGATCACAGAGCTCACATTCCAAAAGGGAATGCAGCCAGCAAGCAAGCCATCAAGGTCATTTCAGAACATGGGCAAGGTCAGGAAGAAGACAAGCAGAGTGAGCCATCAGGGTCATTGCTGTGTGTGTGTGTGTGTACATACGTGTGTGCGCAGAGAGAGAGTGTCTGTTAGAAAGAGTCTCCTCAGAACTGAGAGTAGAACTAAAGGGTGAGAAGGTGACAGTGGAAGAAAAGGACATTCCAGGCAAAGGGGAAAGTAGTCACTCATGCAAAAGGCTCTAAGTTGGAATGAACCTAAAGGGATCAAGGAATAGACAGGTCAGTGCCAGGCCTCAGGGTGGTTGGTAGGAATTACTAAGTCCCATGAAGAACTCAGGTTTTAGTCCAAGTGCAGTGGGGAGTGATGAGAGAGTGGTGTGACCTCTACAGGGTTCCCGAGGAAGGAGGAAGTGGGGAGTGGTCTGGGTGGGATTCTGGATGGAAGGTCTTTCCAGAATAGCAGGGAAAATGAATTACAAGGTGAAAAGCATGGGGGTGGGGGAGAGAAACCATAGATCTTACTTTGTGGATGATGTTTGGATTTTCAACTCCTCTGCATTTCCCACATCCTATTCCAAGAGCACAGTGATTACAATTTAACTAAACATTGTTTGGAAGTATATTTGAGAATTTAACCAGGATACATGCAATAACACTGAAAATAGGCAGAGCGAAAATTAAGTAAAAGACGACACAGATTCTATTTGGCCGTTTTATCCTTCAAAATTTACGATGGAGAAGAAGAGATTCAGTGTTTGATGGAATTATAAGGGGAAAGGGCAGTAGCTCTTAGAATTTG